CATTCCCACATTTTTATTCAAAACTGGCCAGTCACAAAGTTCAGCACTATTCCCTGAAATTGTGCACAAAACCCAAACACCAGCTCTGACCAAAATGGCACATAAGGTGCCATTGTGTTACTTTGAAGTAGCATTGGCATTCAAGAGCAGGGTTTTCTTCAAGTAGGTTTGCAGTTGTGCCTGTCTGAATGCTAGCCTCATCCAGCCTACAGTAACACCCCTTCACACAAAGACACTCTTAAAATAAGGGGGTGTACATACTGAGGTCTCCCATTGTAATTCATTATATGCATTATGGAAATGAATATCAGATGTCAAGGCTGGCTCCAGGTCAAATCACAGTGTGATTCAAAAGGTCCCTCTGACAGCAGCAGACCCTGAACAGCATTGACCACCCCAATCTTGCTATGAACTTACTGGCAACAGTGTTGTCTCCAGAGGTCCGCTGTAGGGAATGTGGGAAATTTGAGATTCAAGAGGGTCACAGCTGTCCACTGCTGCTTTTAGGGGAAGTGTAGCAGGCGAGTTGACTTAGGCCCAGAGCAGACATCAGGCAAGTTGGCTGTAAGCCCAGCACCCAGGGTTACCAAGTGTTGGCGCCAAGCCTGTCCAATGCGACTAAATGGTAAGGAGCTTCCTTGGACTTTAAAAGAGCCCTGGCTGACTTTGAGAAAACTAGTTTTCAATAACTTATTTGTCTTTAAGTGATAAGACCTGGGCGATTTTCAAGCAAAGAAGGAAGCACTGATTAAGGGGATAGTCTAATTACTCAGCTCATCGTGGCAATAACAGTTAAAAGAGAAAAGGAAAGATGCACTTTGATGCAGAATTCCTCTCTCATTAATTTTAGAGACAATCCCTAATGCAGTCTTAGGAAGTGAGCCAAGTATGATAAATGAGGTTGAATTTGGGGAGCATCTAAAAATCAGTTATTAGAGGCAGGAACAGTGCAGAGGTGATGAGGTGGGTTTCTTTGGCTGGGAGAGGAAGGTTGTTTAGTCAAGCTTTTTGTCTACTTCTGTTACATCTTCCATATTCAACCATTTTAAGAGGCTGGTTGTTCTTCACAAGTAATGAAATAACAGGGATAATTACTTATTGAAACTCTTTTGGTATGCATAATAAGCAGTGTTTAAACTAGTGAATCTTGGTTAGAGACTAGCTTTTACCTGTTGCAACCACACACAAAGAGATTGATTGTAGGTAAGAAAATGATAAAGCTGTTTATTGTAGGAAAAGCACTTTACATGTCAATGGGAATACTCAACTCTTAGTCCCCTTTCCCCCAAGTTGTTGTTTTAGTAAACAAATAAGAAAAGTGCCCATGGATACTCAAGGGCTGTGGGGAAGCAATTTGCAGGATGTTGTGCCCAACTTGATTCCACTTGCAATAATCTGAGCTGGGGATGGGGAGAGTGGCTTGCATAGCCAATCCTAGATCCCCTGGCACTGTATTTGGTCCCAGTCTACTGCTTTAAATCACAAGAATCCAGTCTTGAGTCTGAAGGAGTGTCTTCAGAAACATTGATTAAAATGATGTGTTAAAAATCTGACATGCTTATCTTTCTTCTTCTTCTTCTTCTTCTTCTTCTTCTTCTTCTTCTTCTTCTTCTTTTTGGATGCTAATTCTTTGGCATGCAAGTTATGGAGAAAGTAATGGCCTTTTCCACCATGAATAATGAAGTGAAAACATTTTTAAGCATCATGAAACATTTATAGCCCTAACAAAGAGAATGAAACACATTACCACCAAAGGTGAGAAAACAGTCAAGGAGAGTGCAGATTTATTGCTACCAAGCTGAAGAACCCAGACCATAGGGAAAGCCAAACTGAAGCACTTGAGATCATGAGGTCCTATCAGGTTGCTCACAATTTGGTGCACAAGATTTTCCAAAAAAACACAATTAAAAATACATACATAAATAACGAAAGTTCATTAAGCAATCATCTGCTTCCTTATGATCATCCTAGAAATTTAAATGTCCACTAAACTACAAAGGTGGCACTGGTTGCAAACAATATCTACTGACAGGAGGAGGGTGTAGACAGAGGGATGGACACATCAGCTTATTCCCATTCTGTGTCAGTATGGCATGTGCTCAATTGTAGGTAAATTCTGCCCCATCTTTTGTGGATTTAAATAAAGAAATTGAAGGATAGAACCTGCAACCTTTTGCACGTACTGTTTGTGTTATTCCCTGTATAAAATGAAGCATGTGGCTGCTCTTTTTAAAAACAGAACAACAACCACCAAAAAAACAACAATAATCCTGGTGCAAACAGCCCAATAGATATGTGTGTGTTAAGGCTGTGAAATGGCAGTATCGAGAAAATTACACATTAGCCATCTCCATTATAAAGAAGCTGTCATCTTTCAGCACAAGGTGATCCATTAATCATCTAACAATCATTCATCCATTCTTTCCCTGAGACATTAAACTGTGGTCTTTTCTGTCTGTCGCCGTTGATCATCCAGGTGGAAATTAGAAATCCCAGAGCATTTTTTTTTAAAAGAAGACGGGCCAATCTGGTGACCCTCAATCATAAGAGAGAGAGAGACAGAGAATGGTTTCTATTGTCCACAGCTGTATGGGAAGCTATAACTAAGCTTAAAAGGCAACACATTTTCAGTGGCATTTTTATTCCCCTTGCGCCACCAGTGATGAAGGCACTCTGAGATACCATGAATCTAGAGGGAGCTACCTAGAATCATAATCTACGCTCATTTGTTATTTACAGACTTTCGACAGATCATCTGCCAAAAAATTAAGACATACACCTGAGATTCATTTGAAGGGATTTTTCATCATCAGTGGAACAATCTGTCTCATGTATTCTTCTCCGCCTGAAGACAGCCAATAACAGAAACAGCTGAGCACCACAAAAGTAGCCACATCCGTACCATACATTTAAAGCACTTCTACCATTCTAACAGGTGTGGCTTCCTGCAAAAAATCCTGGGAAGTGTAGTTTGTTAAGGGTGCTGGGAGTTGTAGCTCTCTAAGGGGGTGATCTAACAGTTCTCAGCAGCCTTAACAAATTACAGTTCCCAGCATCCTTTTGTGAGAAGCCATTACTCTTAAAGTGGAAGGAGAGTGGTTCCTAAATGTATGGTGGGGATGTGATGAATAATCTCACATAGCGGAAAGAAGGATGAGCATACGATGGTGATAAGTGGCTGGGCAGAATGGTTTGTCAATACGTGTGTAGGGGCTGAGGAAGATAACAAACTGAGCACAAAGAAACAACTTGTAGGAGGTACTGTGATGGACAGCAGAGGATCACATGCATACGTCAAGAAGCGGTGGGACTAGAGCACCCACATTAAGCAAATTAATCAATTAGATTAATTGATGAGAATAATTTTTCATTGCCTAAAAATGTACTTTGGATTAAACTGGTTTGCATCCAATAATAGTTCTACTCCAAGTAGACCCAATTGAAATTAATGGATACGACTAACTTAGGCCCATTAATTTCAGTGGGCCTCCTTGGAGTAGGATTTAATTGGATACACCCCCCAGCAAATTACACACACACACACACACACACACACACACAGACTTCACTTCTAATATTTCTGATCTTAAGTTCAGCACCCCACATCTCCACATCCGTTTGTGATTTTATTTCGAAGGGTCCTAATCTGTATTCTAGTGTGAATGTCTCCTAGCAAACCTACCGTATTTTTTTAAAGCAATTTTGTCCAAACGAGCAATTTCCCCTAAGCATGCCTTTTTATTTACATTTTACCCGAAGATGTGCATTTTATGTCCACAACACTTGGCAGAAGAACCACATTGCAAAATCTGGAGGAATACGCAGTTTGAAAGAGGGCTGTGTTTCAGTTTGCATATTGTTTTATAAAGTGCAAATTAGAGAGATTCATGTTGAAATGCAACCTGGTTTGAATTTCTCCCACCATCCCAGCTCCTAAAGCATGTGAGCCGCTGCACTCAGGCATCAGCCTTCCTTTGGGTTTGAACTCTGCTGGCATTGCTCATTTTGCCAATTCAAGGCTGGTCCTGGCTTATGCAACCTGAGCTGGCTCTAGGCACGCTGCATCCTGCTTGATACATCGTTTGTTGTTGGGCCGATGATTTATATGTCAGGTGCCTGAGGTATCCACTCTCAATTTTTCTGCAATTAAGGAGGGCAGGCCGGGGCAGTTGACAAACGGTCCTCCTATAGCCTTTTTGCTGTTGCTATTATCCTGTGGATATCTTTTAAACTAATTCATCCCTTTAGAACCCACAAGGTTTGGGTTGATAAATCAAGTGAGACCTGCGTGTGCCGGGAGCTGATTACAGGGTCATTCCTTAGCAGCAATGTTTGACCAGAGTTTCACAACTTCATATTTTATCTAGCAGCTGGGTGATGTATCACTGCTAATCCCAATGCAAAGCATCAGGAAATAAAAAAGGAGGAGGAGGAGGAGGCTGTGTTTATAATAAATCACTGACAAGCAATGTTTGACCTTTTCATTTCCTACAAGGTATTTCATTGTAACGCCACAGACAAACAGGATTTTTCATCGGGTGCTTAATATGCATCAGAAAAGAACAAAGGTTTATAAGCACTGAAGAACAGGCAAACTACTACCCCTGAAGATATACCAACTTCTTCAGATAAACACATTAAAAATAGTGTTATTCCAACAATACTGATATCGTATTGAGGACCTCTGCTCCCAGCCACTGGAGTGGATAGTATAATAGAAGCTGCTAATCTCATTACTTTTTGAAGAGAGGTATTTTTAAAAAGATTTTATTATTTATTGTATTATTATTATTATTATTATTATTATTATTATTATTATTATTATTTTGTTAGCCACTTGTTAAGCAAATGTCTCCAAGTGACTTACAACACATCTAAAAGCCTTAACACAAATACATTATATTATAAAAAAGCAAAACAACCCCCACAGAAACCATTTTTCTTCTCCTCCCACCAAGGGGCTACACATGGTTCTCTTCCCTGACTCATATTGGGGAAGAGCCATAGTTCAGTGGTGGAATATCTGCCTTGTATGCAGGAGGTCCCAAGTTAAGCCCTGGACATCTCCACATTGCGCTGGGAGAGATCCTTCTATGAAACACTGGAAGGCTGCTGACAATTAGTGTAGACAAGATTAAGTCTGACTCAGTTTAAGGCCGCTTCCTATGTTCCTAGATTATCCTCAAATCCTCCTAGTGGTGCAGCAATAAAACTGCTAGCACATTTATGAAGCTAAGCAGGGTCTGGTATGGTTTTAAATTTAGATGGAGACCCGCATGTTGGGATTGGACTAGATTCTGTTATTCTTTGATCAACCCTGAGAGGTAGAGTGGAATGAGAATGTGATTGCCTCAAGGTGTCACTGAGTTACCCTTCTGACTGAATGAGGGTTTGAACCTTGGTCTCCCTGGTGTAAGGACCAGACTAAGCATAACAGTGGGACAACTGAGATCTGTCCCCCCCCCCCCCACTGTTTTATTTGCTTATTTAGCATATTTCTGACACACATGCACACATCATAACTGATCTCAGGACTAGGTACAATCAATAGTGAATGGTATGTTGTGGGGAGGGGGCTGCACTCAGCTGACCAGGTCCTGACAGAGTTAGGACAGTTAAAAACAGACACCAAATAACCATTATGGCAGGATGTACTCTTAATTGCCAGCATAGGCCTGGAGGAATATAAGTTTTCAGCAGGCATTTAAAAGATGGCACAGAAGGCGCCCACTGAATCTGTATTGGCAGGGAGTTCCAAAGGACTGGGCTGTTGACACTAAAGGCTTGGTTCCTTTTTGTTATCAAACGAGTCTCACCAACTTGGGAAGCAGCTAAACAGACTCAAACGCTTTGTGTTTTTTCACAGCAGGGTATGGTGACTTCCATAGTGTCGAGTAGCTGATGAAGCAGACTTCAGGAATGGCAACCCTACTCAAATTGATGCTGCCACTCCAGTTTGCTTCATAACTCTCTGCATCCTGGTCATGAGGCCCGTTGGCCCTCATCTCCTTTGCATCTACAACTGCTCCATTCCATTTGCCCAGCCAAAGGAAGAACAGTTACTGTACTTTCTTACCAGGAGGGCTATGTGCCAGAGGGTCTCAAAGTGTTTTATTTTAATGTCACAGATGATTAAATGCCTTAGTGTGACTGACAAGCTTTAGTAAATGTGTACAAATTAGATAGAACAGAGCTCTCTCAGCAAAGTAGATTTTCTAAACCGGTTTTGTCTGAGAGGAGAATAAGAGACTAATGATAGTAAAATACATTTAACATGCTAGGAAATTAAACATCATATACACAGAGACATGGAAAAAATGCTTTATATACTAGAATATGTTGGTGCAAGGAATGTGTGTGTGTGTGCACGTGCACACACACACACACACACACACACGTATGTAGAATTCCTGGATGCCAAGATCCAAGTTTAGGACAGCTGCTCTTTGGTGAGAGAACCCCAGCACCAATTTAAAATCACATGTAGCAAAGTAAAGTGTGGAAATATAGGCTGTTAGACCTTTAAAATATGCCCTTGTGAGTTCCTTCCAAAGCTTCCCTCTTCCCCAGCATCGAAAAAAGACCAGATGCTTGCTAGGTTAAAAATGGTTTGCTTACAATCTTTCCGAAGGTCAGATTCATGTGTTTTTCCATACAGCATTCAGAAAAAGTTGCATAGGCAGTAACACTTGACTTAGTTACAGTGGTGAAATTTCCTAAATTATTGGTAGCGGAACTCAAGAGTGGTTTGTGAGAACTATGCAGCTAAGTTGGAGCAACCAGCTTAGCCCATTCACAGGCCAAGCTTCTCAGGTAGACTGGGGGAGAACAAAGGCTTGATTGCCTAGTTCCTCCCAAGGTGAGGTAAGCTTGGCAGTGCAGTTCATGCTATGGTTTTAACCCCTTCATACATTAATTAGACTTAAGTATGTTGGTTATATAAGGCTGGTTATCCCACAGGAGAGATGTTCAGCTTCTCAGTGGCCTGACCTCTTCTGGACCTCCTTTTTATTGTGCATCCATAATCATTTGTGTTCATGATGGTACCAGTGCAGTAATATATGGTCCCACTTTCAATACTGTTTGATGTCTGCAAAGTTTACAGCACGAACATACTGGTTGTTATTCAGCACTGGTTCTGCTCAGATTAGATGTTCTGAACTTAATGGACACGGCCAATTTAGGTCCATTAATTTCAATGGGTGTACTCTGAGGAGGACCTAGGCCACATTCACACCTTACATGACACCACTTTAAACACATGGCTATCAATAGTAAGGCTATCAGTGACTACCAGCCATGATGTTTGTGCCCTGCCTCCACAATCAAAGGCAGTAATGCTTCTAAATACCAATTGCTGGAAACCGCAAGAGGGGAGAGTGCCATTGTGCATGTGTCCTGCTTATGAGTTTCCCACATGCTTCTGGGTGGCTACTGTGAGAAAAGGATGCTGGACTAGATGACCCATTGCCCTGATCCAGCAGGGTCTTCTTATGTTCTTACGTGTATGGAATCCAGCTCCCATGAAATGACAATATCACCCCAGCACCACATGACTTAGTCTTCAGTGAGGAAATGAACAGAATTTCAGGTCTCCAAGCAAATAACCATTTGGGGCCATTGCAAAAATGATTGCACATTGAGAAAGTGAGAGTATTTGCGTTTGTCCAAAGCCTACAGCCCTAACATCTGGAACATGCTGGCAAATTCCTCGCATTGCTGGCAGAGGTGAAGTAGCTCTACTCCCTCTTGTCTCCCTTGTTCTGTTGATTTTGCTCCTTTTAGGCAGTACTTTAAATTCAACATAGCAGGCAAGATTCTTCTCTGAGATAGGGCAAGGCAGCAAGCTTTCAAAAATAAAGGCCAGATCAAGATTGTTGGGTTTCACATTTCACTTAAAACAAAGCAAAATAAAAATCAGATCAGATTCAGTTGATAAAGCTTTCCAAGAAATTGGGCTGTGTGTGTGCTTTTTTTAAAAAAAACCCAATGATAATATAAAAGTTGTCAAAAACCCTGAGCTGAACAGATCAGTGGTCTCAATATGTAGCCACAATGCTTTTCTTCAAGTCAACACAACAACTCTCTGATCCCATCTGAATTTAAGGGGGCGGGGAGTCTTTGGTGTGCAACAATGGCCACCAATGGTCTGATCAGACAATACTGGGCTAAATGGACAGTGGTGTAAGGCAGTGGTGGCTCTTGCCCATTTGGAGTGGCAGGGCAGAAGGCAGGGAACCCAAACAATAGGTGGAGCCAGAACTAATGTGTGACAAAACCAATTCATTCTAGTTATGTCCCCACCCACTTCCCTGCTAAGTTCTACAAGGAAGTCATTAGAGGAGGAAATTGACAGGCAGCGCCATCACCCAGACTCCTTATTAAGTAGAAAGGCAGACAGGTGGGCGCTGGCGGAGGGGAGACTGAGGCTGGTGGGCTGTGTCCCATTCAAACATGACAGGCTACCCTCCACTGGCTAAAGCAGCTACCTATTTCTGTACAAATTAAAAACAAAAGACCCCCTCCCCCCGCTCAAACTAGGCACACACTCAAGTCTTTATGTCTCCCTCTTTCAAAGCTGACTCCTAGGAAATCTGCTTCTCTGCACTCTGCAAAATAAGATTTACATTTTTTTTGAGCCAATGAGCCAATGTTGTGGCATCCCTAGTGAAGGGTAATTGGACAATGAGTTGTCACTATAGTCCATTGACACTGTGGCCTCCATATGTAATTAAATCAAAATGTCTGTGAACATTTTTAATGTCAGAACAACATTTACAAAAGGGAAACATTAACTTGTCACTCATTGAACTGGAACATTGCAGGCTGTGGCTTACAGATTCGAAAGGTCTCTGTATAATGACAGCTCTTCGACCTGTAAAGATTTCAAGCTCCCTTGAAATTTTTGACAGTGTTTCCCCCCCTTTTTTTAAGACTAACAGATTAATAAGCCATTTATTGGTATTTCTGGATTGAGTGTACTGAGGTGATGGGGCAGAATGGGGCACATGAAGCTGCCATAATCAGGAACATGATAAGAACATAAGAAGAGCCTGCTGGATCACACCAATTGCTCATCTAATCCAACATCCTGTTCTCACAGTGGCTGCCCAGATGTCCATGGCAAACCCTCAAGTCCAATCCTCTTTTAAAGCCATACAGGCGTGTCATCACTGGACACACTGCCCATCTGCATAGTCTTCCAAGTGTTGGAGAGGATATTGCTCTTCCTTTGACACCCTGGGTCCATTTGAGTGGAAAGGAGTATTCCAAGTGTTGTGTTTTGGTTCAAATATTGTTTTGCAAAGTGCAAATCTGGTAGGTCCTCCACCCCTGGGCACCTGTCAAATGATGAGCTGCTTGGCTTCCTTGGAACATTGTCTGAGAGATCATTGGGAAGTGGCTGATCCTGATGAAGCCTTTCTAAATTTGGCCCTCAAATAATGCAACATCCAGGACAGTGAGGTTGAATCTGGTATAACTCAATGGGGTCTGGATTGCATCATGCAATGAAAACAAGTGGAAGGAGCAGAAGTAGAGGCTGCATTTCTTTGGCTCTTTATTGGTTGGAAAACCCCTAAGGATGCCAGCAAAGGAGATGGAGCAGAGTATTAATATCTAAGCAAGGAGATCAAAACCAGTTGATGTTCCTGGCACTCAGTTCCAGCGTGTGGATGTTTATTCATTTAAAAGTTATAGAAAGAAAACTGAATCCCCTCCTTCAAAAACTTAGTTGAGTCAAATATTGCCACGTGTTCTTTATTTTAAATTTGCTGTCTTACAATCCAAACTTAATTGAATCGGGATTGAACATTTCTGATTGGAATATTTAATATGGCAAGTTTCTCCTTCTGCCAGGAATGCTATCTGGATGTTAAACATGAACTCAATTTAATCATCGGAATATGGCAAGCATCACAGCAAAGGTCATGTTATTATTTACATTGTCCTCTTATTTCACAATTGTTGGTGTGCCCCCTTTCATCTTCTAAACTCAGAACACTCAATAACATGTGTACGTTTTGACTTATATAAGAGAACTGATTTCCCATCATGGGGTGGGGAGAGG